TGGAGACCAGAGAAGAGTCAACAAAACTAAGAACAGGATCTTCTGCAAGGGTTTCAATTTGGTTTGTAAGTTGCCTATAGAATTAATACAAGGGGAAGCATTAAGAAGACCTCTCATTTCCTATGGAGCCTTTTAGCTTCTCCTTACAGGAGAGATGATTCATGTAAAGTTTCTGTAAGAAAGGTCCCTTGAGCCTGGTTCTACCTCTTTGTCTTCACAGCTTTCAGTTAACACTGCGGGTGGGCACAGAAACACTTTCAGCTCATTATCCTCTTTTCAAATACTAGTGGACATAAGATATTTGGCTGAAAGAGCCCTTTGTAGATCTTTTAAATTCCATTATCATTAAGAAGACAGGCATGGGAAAGAGATACTGTTTTCCTTACCTATTAGTTCCATCTTCTGCAGGGCAGAAGCAGCTTTCTGCATTAATTTAAGGTTTGCAACATCTGTGCTGCTGGAAAAAGCTATCTGAAATGTAAATCTTCAAAGCAATGATAGATTGAAGCTGCGCTCGGGCACTTGACTTATGGAGGCACCAATCAGGAACGTTACTGGCTCAAATATCCAGAGCCTCCCAATGAAATAAAAAATGGTAAATAAATTGAAGTCTCTCTGGGTGATCGTTCTCATTATGTGGCTATAGAAGATAACGAGAGAATCACTGAAGAAAGGTTGTCATTAGCTGTTAATTGAAGGCACTTTCAGAAATTGCTGCTTGAACCTGAAAGACTGACTACCTTTCTAACCACTACCTAATGTGTATGTTAGAGCGGTATTAAAGCAAGTCTCATTAGGTCCCTGCCCCCAGCACCACAGCTCAGAGAGAGCTTCTGATGCTTTAGATGAAACTCGTGTTTTAAAAAGCTCATCTACATATAGCCTAACCCCTGGGCATATCTTCGGCATACTTTACTGCATACAGATCTATCTAAACTGATGCTCACGTTGTGCAAACACAAGATACCTAAGTGCATTGTAACAACCTTCAAAAGAGGCAGCAGAGTCCTGGTCCATTACGATGTATAATCACATAATGTACCAATGTCACAAATTATGATTAGTCTGTAAGCTAAGTGCCGCTATCTCCGGACATGACTTTAGGCTCGCTTGCTCTTTACTGCTCTTTCACATACCTTATTTTGCTCTTACCGTCTTCCTCTCCTTATTCCCAAACCTTTTATTTTCACTCACTGATGCGAGCCCCTTAGTCTTGAAGAGGGTCTCCATTTCTAGGTGAGACATCTCACTTCCCATGAAGCAGCCAGCCTCTACCCTACCTGTAACCTGTGCTCTAATCTGACAAAACTTGCAGGCTTTCAATTTGCTTTAAACTGATTACGTTTCCATTTAAATTCTTCTCTGTCTCTACAATTGTTGAAGCAAAAATCCATCTTGTATCTACTTTACATCTAAAGCAATATTTTCAATCTAAGTTTCAGGAGCATCTATCAGATCTGGAAATTGTGCATCATCACAAAAGCTTGTGTAAAGTGCCTGCAGAACCACAGCTTTTTATTGAGGGGTGTGATGTGGAGTGATCCCAAGACAGCACACAGAGGTGGCCTGAGCCCAACAGAACAGGGTCAACAGAAACAGAAATAGGGTCACAGCCAGAAAACACCCAAACAACTCAAGTGGTTCCTCTTTGCCAACAATTTAATTGTAATCTGTGCTTCACCTAGTTTGCACAGCCAGTAGGATAAATATCATATGCCCAGAATGACCTTGAGACTGCACTATGTTTAATCACAGAGTAGCTGGTGTACCCTGCCTCTATCTGTTTTTTTATGCTCCCACTTCTGCAGTATTTGCAAACAGCTGAAGCAGAGCAATAGTCAACACCAAGTATACACCTGTGCTTACACAAGGAAAAGTAATTCACATGAATTTCCCACCTCAGTCATTTCAGAGTTATCAAGAAGCTGTGAACTCTTTCCTGTTTGCAGGAGAGCTAATAGACTTTAACATAGCAAAATTAAATTATTCTGCTCTTACACTATGTAAAATCCCTGCAGAATTGCTTTGAGCAGAAAAGGATATTAAATTGCACAAACAGTACAGTTTAGGGCCATTTACTCCAACTGCTCCAAGGGCTTTTCAGATATAACAAGTCCCCCAGCTATAATGGGGCTGGGTTCAGGGAATTTGTGACTGCTTTTGAAGTTTCCAAACCCATCTGTACAGCTGAACTCCAGTTTGAGCTGCTAGTTCTCAGGTCCAGCTGTGGTATCAGTCAAATTACAGAGGTAGCTGCTTCCTGCCATCATGCCCACGATAATCCTGAGGTGTTGAGTGACCCATGCACAAAAAGACAACATGTGGCATCTTAATTATACAGGAGCCACACCAACCAGATTTTCATTTACAACCATGCCCAGCACTTTGAATTCAGACGCTCCTGCTCATCCTGCATAAATGTTTTGGCAATTGTTCTGTATTTCCATTGCACCGGTGGGTATCCAATTGCATTAACATGCCATGTTTTAAACCCAGAAATTAAAAGTACACCAAGTAGAACAGGAGCTGGTATTGTGGTTCATACAGAGCCAAGATGTATCTCTCAAAAGCATGGCCGTGTGGAGAGCACAGACGCTGAAGCTGCATTCTCCCCCCACTTCATTTTAACTCCTCACTGTCTCTACACCATGCTGCATCCAGCAAGAGCTGTACTGTATGGCTTTTCCTGAAGAACATAATTTCCCAAAGGCCTCCAGAAGAAGCCTAGGTCTGGTACCATCAATACAGTTTAGAGGAGGTAATTATCACAGTGAAGGTGTTTTCTTATGGGAGCAGAATCCAGCTCACTAACAATCAGCAAACAGGGTTTCTTACTGAGCCCCTGGAAAAAGGACCTCCTGCTCCTTCTGTCACTGTGACTCCTTGAAACTCCTACCTACAGATGATCGATAAAAAGAGTTTGGAAAATCACTTTCCCATCGCATCCCCACAGAGAGCACGAACTAATAGAGGCAGATGAACACAAACCAGTCTACAATAATGACTTGAATTAAGACCGCAGCTATTCAGACGAGCCTCTTACTACAAACGCAATGCATTCCCCCTTCAACCGCAAACAACTGCCAGGCTGACAAGTCATTCACCCACAAATTGTGCCATTTGCTCACAGTATGTTTTTGTATTTCTTCCACCACTTACAACAGCGCAGTTCAGCTGGCAGCCCGGGCTGGCATGCTGCTTCTTCCTTGGAAGAGGCGGGGCATGGCACTCCTGGCAGCACAGGCTGCCTTATCGCCTGGTGCCTCCTCAAGACTGTGGTGCTCACCAGCCCAGAGTGCCCAAGCAGCTGCTGCAGACCCAGGAGGGACGGAGTGAGGTTTGGGATCCCACCACTCCTTGCACACACACGCAGCCCAGCGCACGCTGCTGGAGCCATGACCACATCAGCTGGCCCTCCAAGGCAGGATCCAGCTCCGCAATGCCACTGCAGCTGGGCTACGCAATTCACGGATTCTGCTGGCACAGCAGAAGGAGGGGGTTGGTGCATCTCATGTCATATTCAAGATGACTGGCACAAAAAACACTGCAGGTGAAAAAAATAGACTCTCTAAGCATGAGACTCCTACATCTATTTAAGTCTGTGAGGTGAGTAAGCGTCCACACATCTCTGCAATGTGAAGGCTCATCCCTGCTTCAGAATCAGGAGATTAAATGTTACCTGAGCATGCTTGGTATTTTATATGCAAACTATTACATGGTCCAAACATCATTTCTTCTTTTTAATAAAACTTCCTCAGTTGAGACAATGGAGGGAAGGAAGTTTCAAGATCCGAAACAAGTATCTTTGACATAACTGCACTCAGTACCTCCCTTGGAAAATTATTTCCAGATGGAGGAACTTTACATTTCCATTCAGATCTCTCCAGACGAACGTGTTGCACCAGCACTGAGATTTAAGAAAAAAAGTCAATACTGTGATTCCCTTGTTTTAAAAGGAAAAATTTAAAGGGGAGAGAGGCAAGACTCAGTGCAGAATGACTGGAGCAACACTATACTTACACTGCAACAAAAACAGCAAAGTCTTACTCGAGCCCTGTCAAGATACAGGATTTAAGAACAAACAAGCCACACCAGGATGGAAGAGGCTGCTTTCGTCCCAGCCAGCGCAAGAGCCATCTGTTACGTGATTCACTTATGTTGTTGGAGTAACAATTCCGCAGCTGTTCTCCATGAATTAAAAAGAAAGTACAAATCTATAAAAGAATCATGTGTGTTTCAGAAGATGGTTAAAGAGACTCTATTTCTTTTTGCTGCATTTCAAAAAAATACAAGGAGGGAAATGCCACTGGCAAATTCCTCTTCTTTCTCAGGAGAAAACAGGAAAGCACATCACTTTAATCCAAAACACACCAGTAGTCTTCTACATCTTATAACCCATGGAATTTAATTTAACACATATTATATCCTGTAACGGATCATTTGAGAACTGTATTAAGGTATTGAACCCTGCCTGCTAAGTATACCTCCCACACAAACTACAGACACATTCAGAGTTGAAGACCCTGAATATTATGTGTTATCTGCAGAGGTGGAAGTAAGTGAAATGAAGCGTAAGGACCTCGTAGCTCTTCCCCAGCAAAAGAACCGCTTATCTAGAGCTCTTCTTTTTAGTCAAAGTGAAAGCGCCTCTCCCGTTTCTGTTTATTTCAATGCCTAGGGCAAGTCTCATGCAAACTGGCACCTATTCAAATCCTGTAGGAGGACAAGATGTCAGTTTTAATGTCCTGTGCCCAAGCCAACTAACGTAATTACTGAAGACCCTACTCAAACCGTCTCTGACGGCATCTGAAATGCCCTTGGCTCCCAGTGCATCGAGCAGACGATGAAGAGTCTGTATTCAGACTGCTGGCTCAAGATGTCAATCTCAGCCAGTGTGATGACTTCTTTTCAAGAGCCAGGACATGACAGCTTTAGACAGTGAGTACCCTGGATTGTTCACTGCTTTCTTGAACCTAGAGGCACATGGTCCCAATTTCTACCTGCTCCTGTGTAGCTTCAGCTTGTTTCTTCCTCTGCCAGCTGTGACATTGCCACTCTCGTTTCTCCATGACCACTGTGATGAATCACTGATGGCTGAAGGTGTGCCCCACAGCCTTTCATTAGTACAGCCAGCACAGCATCTTCATAAAGCAGCAAACTCAGACCATCAGGATGCAACTCTGCATAAGGAAAGGGATTAAAATCCAAGCACAATGGTGGAACACACAAACTCTAAATTACAATTGCTATTATTCTTCCCTGTACAGAAATCTACATATAATTTTTTTTTTACCCTGCAGGTACCAAACCCATGACTGAAACTAATTAAATGTAGTCCCTTCAGGAATGGTGCCTAATAGATCTTGGTAAAGAAAAGATAAATTACTTTCCATTTAAACCAGGCTAATATGGAAAAGCCTGGGAATGTTAAAAAAAATAATAAACATAGAAGAATGTAATAATGATTTTATTTTTTCAAAAACCTAAACCCTTCTGCTTTTAAGAGACTGTCCTCTCAACTTTATGGACTCACAGAACATTACTGGATGTGTAGGCTGTGCAGCACCATAAACTCTAAAGATCAGGGCTGCTGCTCCAGGCTAATAGTGTAATTTTCCACTGGATGGTTTTCATTTACAATTCACCTATTGTATCTGGAAGTCTAATTGTAGCCAAGTACATTTTTGGGTTGTTCAAGGTATAATAAAGAATCAAACAGCTTAGAAAGGCAGCTTTAACTTTATAATTAGAAACATTTGCTATTTTAGGTGGCTTCTCCCAAACATGTTTGTAAGTTCCCTATTATACCTTTCAGCATGTTGTAAAAATAAATTATGACAAGCTGCACAGTGATTCACAGATACAATAAGAAACAGGGAAGAGAGAAAATACACAGAAGGAGTCTGGATAAACCTGAGACAGCAGAGTATCTGGATATTCATAAACAAAGTGTTTTCCCGTAGGAGGGAGGATAGACAAGGAGTGTCTGCATTTGATTCCCAAGAGGCTCATTAAACACGAGGTGAAAACGGAAATCGGTCCCCATTTCCCCACGTACGAGATGTGAGTAGGTTTATCAGTAGATTTCAGAGGCACACACAAATGCTGTGCATTGGTAGCCACCATCCCAGGGTAACCTGGCAGGTACTAGCTGCTGGAACAGCTAGAGATGCTCCTCCAACCGCGTCACGGCCCCAGTTAATCCTAACATTCCAGACCCTTTAGCGCTGCTGGCAGCAACCCAGGCTCTCCTAGGAAATGTGATTGACGGCATCCTGTAGGGCCGGGGGCAAGGCAGCCCATCCTGAAGAGCCATGCAGTCCCTTCGAGTTAAACATTAACATGTGAACACAGATCTATGGCTAGTAAGGAACAGTAAGTTCACCGCCCTCGGGGATAGCCAACACTGCTTTCCTTTGCAGCTAGTTTGGCGAAATCAACAGCAATATTAGTACAAGGTGTGTGTTTCACAAGTAATTTTTTATATGGGCTCTGATATAGCAGAATTTGGTCTTCATGAAAATCCATGGTTTTCTGTTCAAACAGCTTTGTAATGACTCTTAGTTATTGTCTTTGCTGGACTGGAACTGGCAGTTCAAATGTGAAAGGTTTTCTACCATCTCAACAGTTCTCCGACTCCACCATTTGCCTCCTTGAGGAGGACTATGAAGACCATGCTAGGGAAGACACAGGAAACCTAAGTTTGAACTTAAAAGGCTCAGTGTCATTTGTTCCAAGATTAGTGCAAGGGGCATAAACAGGTGGTAGAATGAAAAGATGAGTTTTCTTTAACTTTATGGAATTTAAGACTTAACCCTTTTCTACTTGTTGCCCCTAAACTGCATGTTAAGGACCAGTGCTGAGCAGCAAGCATTTCTGATTGCTGTATTTTCTGCCCTGTATCAATGCAAGTTATTTGTTTCTTTAGAATGTACAAGGCTATGATTGCCTTTCCAGAATATTCAAGCAAGCACCACACATCAACTCTTCTAAACTCTCTTCTGCTGCTAGCGCAGTTTGGATGTTGCTACAAGCATCCTGAATTACTTGGGTGATACAGACAAACCCTCCTTAAAGCCGTGTGTCACAAATACCCTGTGAACAGTCACAAAAAGGAGGTCAGGAATCTACTAAAAAAGGAAAGCAGAGCTGGACATATGTACAAGATCGGACACCACCTCTTCCAAGAAGTTCTTTTGTGGCTGGGGAAAA